ACCTTAATTAGGGCTAGTGCTTACAACTGAAACTGCTTAGCAAGCCAGAATGGGTTATATGCCTTGTTCCTCTTGAGAAGAAACGTTCATTAATCTGCAGAAGAAAACTCTATTTGGCCTGATGGGCTCTGCTGAAAAGCAATCTCAGAGGTTCACTGTTAACCTCTGCTTTTCTGGGGCTTAGATTCTGTTCCTTGTTTTTGAAACAGGGTCTCACTCTGTTGTCCAGGCTGGAGTGCAGTGGCACCAACTTGGCTCACTGCAGCCTCAGCCTCCCAGGCTCAATGATTCTCCCACCTAAGCTTCCCAAGTAGCTGGTACTACAGGTGTGCATCACCCCTGCCCAGTGAATTTTTTGTATTTTTTTGTAGAGATGGAGTTTTGCTATGTTGCATAGGCTGGTTTCAAACTCCTGGGCTCAAGTAATCCTCCTATGTTGGCCTCCCAAATCGCTGGGATTATAGGCATGAGCCACTGCATCTGGCCATATTCTGTACTTCTTATTACCAGCATCTCCTGAGTGCGGCTTGTTCTTTGTGAGGGAGTACCATGTCCCAGGTTGTTAAGCCTCTCCACAGGGATCTAGTGTTTGCCTCCACTATGGCCTAAGGGCTTTCAATACTCTCAAACCAGTGTCTAACAAAACAGCTGAAGTTATACCATGCAGGTAGTAGTATAACTATGGACCCCAGAGCTATTCAAACAGTGTAATCCTGGGTTTCCATCTCCCTGGTCTGTGCCCCAACACACAAACTTAAAGCCCCAGAGAGACTGGGGAAAATCTTCTTGCCCCCATTTTACAAGCACTTCTTGTATGAGTACAACCAGCATAGCTCCTAGAGTCTAGAGCCTATAGCTGGGTCTGAAACACTCTAAGGCCAGTGGCATCAATGTCTTCTGGCACCTAGGAATTTTCCTGCCCTGCTTTAAAGCTCCTATGTACTTGAAGATATTTAACCAATATTGGTTTATTTTAACCAATATACCTTAGGACTTTTTGGGGTGGGTGGTCAGAAGTAGGCCAGGCTGCATGAGCTCAGTATACCATTCTGCCAGAATTGGGTTCCCTAAATGCAATTCTGCCAGTTTAGGTCCCATATGTAGCCAATTCTAGCTGCCATTTAGGCTACAACTAGAATTAAGTTCTTTGTAGCCTAAGCTAATTGCTGTGACTCTTTCACTAACTCATCCTCATTACAGAGTGCCACTGGGGGGAGAAAGTGCTTATGGGTAGCCCAGGCCTTGAGAAACCTACCCTAAGCCAGAAGCAGCAGGTCCAGGCAGTGACCCCAAGGAAACAGGTCACTTTCCTTCCCAAGGCTGCATTTTCCACACCCAACTAAGTCTGCCCTCAGTTCTGTGGAATCTGCCTTCCATTAACTTTTCCATGATTTAGAACCGGATGACTGTACACTGATGTTTTAGTAGAATGAGAGAAGTAGTAGAAAGACGGCAAGAAATGCAACAAGGGCACAACCACCTTACCACATCAGGGATGTCTGCAGGGAGTCACTGTGTTCTCTGACAGCAAGCAGCCAAGAGAACACCCACAGAAAACGGCTTCAGCAGCTGACCCTGGGGTCTCCTCTGATCTCATTACAGCAGTTGACACTAGTCCTCACAAAACAAACAGAGGAAATTTATGCCTGTCTTAGCTGTGGAAAGCTCCACATTCCTTATTAACGAGAGTTTCAGCTTCTGAGACCACAGCCGCCGGGATGGGGAGGAGGTCAGCTGTGCTCCCAAGAAAGAACTGTGGCTGCTGCCTTGCCCTCTTTCTGGGGCTGGATATACAGGCGGTAAGCCTGGGGCCTGGGCTCTGTGCTCGGGTGACTGGGGGGAAGTTCCCTTTCTGCTAATGTCAACTTTCCTTGGCTCAGACGGTGGAGTCATTTCCTCTTAAACAGCACTGGGAAACTCACTACAAGGGAGTCTTGAGGGGATCCACCTGCTAAGGTCGGAATTCCAAGAGAGAGGTTGTTCTGAATAACCATACTCAAAAGTACTCTTGCCTGCACCTTCAAAAACTCTACTTAACTTGGAATTCTGACTTAAAACATTATTTCATATCTGTTAATTCAATCTTAGAAGTAACTGAGCAGTCAGCTCATTACATAAAGAGTGAGCTTCTAAACCAGAGTAAGAAAGTGGAGCAGAAGTTCTGAACCAGAGTGGTTTTGCCTCCCAGGGGACATCTGGCAATGCTGTAGACATTTTTGGTTGTCATGACCTGGGGGAGGGTGCTACTGGCATCTAGTGGGTGAGACCAATGATGCTACTGAAGATCCTACCGTGTATAGGACAGACACCATAATCAAGAATTATCTGGTCCAAAACGTCAATAGTGCTGAGACTGGGAAACCCTGACGGGGAGGGAACATTCAGGGATATAGGCAGACTTAAAATCATGCCAACTCATAATCACATTATAATAATGTGGTATCATGCAACTTGGGGTCCCCAAAATGTAAACAATTAACAACCATAAAAATATACCAGTTCTCTCCTTGAGCAAAGTAAAAGCTGTACCTTACACAGAGTAAGATCATCAGAGTTGTCTGGGAAGAAGTGGAACAGCTTCAGTGTTGGACTATGTTATCATCAACATCACCACTGCCTGTTTACTCCAGGTCAAGGTGTGATCTGAGTGCCAACTATCAAAATTCAGTGGTAGCTATTAACAGAAGGAGTTTACACGTGAAGTTCTATGGTCACTAAAACTGTCTAAATAACCTAAGTATATATAGGTCTGGAAAAAGTTGCAAAATGTTTCAACTTTTAAAATACCAACAAAATATGAGGAACCATGTTGATGTTGACCTACATTCTAGGGTGGCTAAAAGAAACAGCTGCACAATAGGGTTCTAAATAAATGCAGAATTGCAGAAATGCATCATAATGAAAATATTCAAGGTGACTATTTTGAAATGCTCCCCATTTCTGTTTTTCTTGCTGTTTTCAAATATTCCCTCTCATCCACATGGCATATTTTCATTACATTTGTTGTAAGAATGTACACTTAGATAACCTACTCATTATTCTTTTATGTATTCTTTTACTCCAGACAAAAAGGAAAAAAAAAAAATCCCCATCCAAACAAAGCTAATGCATGGAAACAAATTTGAAGGAAAAAAAGAATTTCATGAATGAATGGGAGACAATTTTTTAATGGAATGTTTTAAAGGCTTGTGGTATAAACACGTAAACAAAATTGAGTCACTAACATTAATACTGTTTGCCATGATGTAAGAGTTGGTCTTTTTTTAAAATGCCCCAGAAGCCAAAGGAAAATAAATACTGTGGTAGGGAAAAATAATACCTTACTTGGCATTTTGAAGTCATTGCTCAATCCTTCTTGAGCAAGAAAACCATAGTAATGACTTTGTTTTACCTACCACAATTATGGTACACCTCGCAGCAATCCTCCACAATATTTTCCTCCCTCTGTTCAAGTTCTGCTAAATAATCTCTGGAAACCATTAACCAAGAACACGGTTCCAATTTTCCTGTTCTCCCTCCCCTGCTGCCTCAGTGTCATGCTGGCGTCAGGACAAAGCAAACTTGTATGACATCACAGAGCAAACTCATTTTCTGTAAACCAGCCCCTTGGTAGTTTACCGCTACTGGAACCCAACGCTGTCAACAGTGTGGTCTTTGTTTGGTGGGTGTTGCTCTAAAAATTTTTTTAAAAAGTTTCCCAACACCTCCTTCTTCTTTTAAACAGAGGCAAGCTGCTGGAGGCGCCGTCCTCGCCTGGCCCGCCCCACTCCGTAAACTAGACATTACCTTATACACAAATGACTCTAGGCATTCCTCAGTCTAGCTGCCTCACTGCAAAATTCCTATGCTCCTCAGCAGCAGGGCAGCACGCATTCCCCTGGCTTCCCCTCTTTCCTCTTCCCCCACCCTCCTCTTTTTCTTTTCTTTCTTTTTTTTTTTTTTTTTTTTTTTTTTTTTTTTTTTTTTTTTAATTTCCACTGCCTCACTGTGTTTTTGTGTAAATGATCTCACATGACTCAACAAATCCATCTGCCTGAAGCAGGCCAAGTCTGGAGCCCTCCCAGGAGGGAGGAGAAGAATTGCTTTGTGGAAAGGACCTGGAGCTCTGCCCTTTCTCTGGCTCGAATTACCCGCCTGTCAGGCCTGACGGATTTGGCTAAAAATAAAAGGAAGCGGGCCGTGAAAAGCAGATGAATGGGCTCAGCAGTTCCTTAGATAACACAGGCCTGCTGTTGCCCAAAGCTCCCCAAACAGAAACTTCAAATGCAGGGCCTCTGAGTGCAGTGATCGGGCTTCCAGGTGAACGGGGCCTGTCAAACCCACTGGAGTTGGAGGACATGGCCTGGGCTGTGAATTTCGGTTTCCCTTCCGCGCGCGTGTGTGTGTGTGTGTGTGTGTGTGTGTGTGTGTCACACAGAGAGTGAGAGCGCACGCGAGAGAGACTGAGAGAGAGAACCAGTCTAGTATTAAAAGGTTCTCAGAAAACAGTAGACTTCAGTGGAGTGAAGACTTGTAAAAAAAGAAAAAAATTTGTTGTTTCCACTACAAAATTATCCTTTTCCCCACCTCCACCACCAGACATTTTCAGCCTCTCTATGATGTCACTTCTCTGTTTAGAGCCAGCAAAGAGCTAAAAGTCCTTCTTGTAAGTGTATGCCCAGCGCCCGCAGTGGGTATTAAGCACTTAGGTTGGCAATGTAATGACACACTGTAACAATCTGTAATATGAAGCAGTCAGCAAAGCCCTGGCTCTGAAAGCTATTTCTCCCGACCATTAACCATATGTTTGGCTCCTCAGATAGCCAAGCGGGTGTTCCAGCTTACCATCTGGTTTCTATCCACACAAGCAACTGCAAAGCACAGGCTACGTCCCTCTGGAGCTGTGTGTTTCTTTTTCTCTCTCTTTTCCGCTCTTCCCTTCCTCTTTCCTCCTCCCAGCTCCTTTGGTTCCCTCTGCTAAAGAATTCTCTGCCATTCATCACGTGCAAAGAAAACTTTACCTGACATGGCAGCGGCAGAGCCATTAAGAATGCACAGCTGTATTGTAAACACGCCAGAGGGCCATTTACCATCCGCGGAATCTGTACAAGTCAGGCTCTACCCCTTCCTCATCTCCTGCTGAGTGCTGACACTTGATCCAGCATGTTAAAAATAGGTACATTCTTGAGAGATCCAGGGTTGCTGTGGTGCCCTTCATACTCACTTCATATTCTGGGAATGGGGCTTTAAAACACACACACACACACACACACACACACACACACACACACACACACGCTCCCGAAGTTTGCCTCTGCATTCAATCTGCCTGACGTCAGTCTCACACAGGATGACACACCACCACTGCAAATAACCAACTTAACTACAGGTTTCTATTCTTTTTTCTGACCTAAGGATTTGATCCCAAGTGTGTATTTTTCTGAGTTTTTTTTCCCCCCGAAACAGTCCACATTGAAAGAGACGACACTTTAGAAGAGTAAGAACATGCAGCCGTGTGTAACAAATTGACAACCTGCAAAACTTATGCTTATTTACATCTGCACTTTTTAATAGTACACAGCAATGAAATGGAACCTGGTATCAGAATTTATAGAATTTTTTCACAATGTTTTCAAAGTATTTACCCCAGAGTTTCTCCTCTACAGCATTTAAGGTACTTTATAACTCTATACATTTTTAAATGTATGAAGGAAGATGTATTTGATATATAGAAATTAGGTCATTTTTCTTCCTGTCCCCCTCAGAATAAGGTCTGCATTATCAGCCCATTTTACTGAATTAGGAAATTAAAGTTAATTATTTCCCATACACTGAAAAAATAAGGGCTGGTAACATACCAAGAACAAAAGAAAGAATATCATTAAAAAGTGATTAACCAGAACGTCAGATTTTATCAATGTGGCAGAGCTACAGAGGATCTGTCAGGGGAGGACTGTTTATTCAGGCTAACAAGGGTGCCAGGAAGGCCACTACCTGTGTAAACTTCTTAAACCCACTGCCCTTGTCAGTCCTCATTTCCATGATCTGAAATAGGTGTTGTGTTCGCTATTTCTATCAATAAGGGACATCAAAATTCTGCTGCATGTAGGTTTTTAAAGAGTGACAGAAAAGGGAATTTTTAATTTCAGAAGCCTTAGGAAAATTGTTCACAGACGATGGCATCTATTAAATGCTGTTTGAGGTCTCAAAACCATAATACAAACTTTAAAGTGCATTAGCTTTACTCCCAGAAAAACAATGACAATATAGTTAATAAAAAGAAAGAAAAATTAGCAATTTAAAACTTCAGTATTTTCATAGTTAACTACCTGGTTTTCTAAGCACTGTAGAATCATTTTATTACAGATATTTGTGCTTTTCATAAATACTGGTGCCTGGGCCCTTTTCCTCCAGCTCAATTATACAAGGATCCCTGAGTGGGGAGGCCTGGACATCAGTATTTTTGAAAAGTTTTCCAATTTTGTGCAACTAAAGTTGAGAAGTCTTGCTTTATGTGAACTAACATGACAGTAGAAACCATCTCATCAAAACCAAAATGAAACCCTTGGTATAGAAATGTAAATGAAATTTAGGAATAGAACAGTGGCTTTCCAAACTTGTTTTGAAGTGAAATCTTCAAACAAAATCTTATATGAAATCCCTATAAGCGAGATAGGTAAAAAGCAGTAATTTATACTGCCCTTTTATCCTTTTAGTCTGTACAATATTCATGGATGTTATAAGTTCAAAGTTATAATTTTTAAATCATAACCCAGCCAGTAAGAAAAATAAAGCCATTTTATTGAACACAAAACCTGGAATTGAGGTTAAGGCTGAAAGGTCCAGTCCTATACACCTCAGCATCTAATTTTTTCCATGGCCAATGGTTAAGATGATCAAGGTCTGATGTATATAAAAATAGCAGTGTGTGTAGCAGGATGAAAATTAGTTCATAAATTAATGTAATAAACATCCATTAAGTGCTTACTATACACAAGGTACTGCCCTGCGGTCATCAGAGAAATAAGTTGCAGCCTCTCCCTTGAAGAGTCTACTTAAGAAGACACCTAATGGCAGAACAGCAAGACAAGTGCAATAATGGAGGTGCTGAGAGACACTACATGGGAAGGAGTGGCTAATTCTGCTTGAGGAAGTAGGGCATAATGTCACCAGCAAGGGACAATTAAGTCAGGTCCTAAAAGTGTGAGCAGGATTTTTGACACCTAAAAAAGGAGGGACACTTCAGAAAGAAGAAACTGAGTGTGAAAAAAATTAAAACCCGTAAGAATAAACAGGGTTGGTGAGTCTGAGGGTTATGAGAAATTCTGCGAGGGACAGGAAGGTCTGGGAGATAAGGCCAAAGAGGTAACTGAGTCCAGGTTATAAGAAACTCTAAATGTCATGATATAGCTTAGACCAGTGCTGGCCAACAAAAACACAAGGTGAACTAAACCTGTAATTTAAAACTTTTTAAATAACCACATTAAACAAGTAAAAAGAAAAAGGAGAAATTTACTTAATATTATTGGAAAAAGTATTATTTTAACATGTTATCAATATAAAAAGAATTAATGAGCTATTTTACATTTTGTTCATACTAAGTCTTTGAAACAGGGTGTGGATTTTACACTTAACGGCACATCTCAATTTGGACAAGTCACATTTTAAGAGCTCAATAGCCACCTGTGGCTAGTGACTATTATACTGGAAAGCACAGGTTTAGCCCTTATTCTGCAGGCAGTGCAGACCGAAGGATATGCTTGGCTTTATTTCATGAGAAAATGGCAACAATGTGGAGAAGCAGAAACATTGGGTCTGAGAGAGGGCTTCTGAGGTGCCTTCCACAGTCCATGCAAGGGACACAGAGAACAAGGCTCAGACAAGGGCAGTGGCAAGTAGGATGTCATGGAAGAGTCAGAGTCAGAAAATACTTGTAAAAGGAATTCAGAAAACTTTAGAAAACTGTGAGGGATCAAGTGAAGGACTCACAGAACCATTAAATTTTTTTTCATGCTGAAATTTGTGCTTAGAATGAAAGATCACTGATTGTGTATTTAATAAGAAGTTTCATTGTTCCTTTCAAGCTTGCTTCCTTCTGTAGTAGAATGCAATGTCACTTATGTAGGATATAGTAAATTCCTCTTCAAAGAACCAATATGTCAGTATGTTCAGCTCCTCTGTTCTTTGTTCTCCATTTTAAAGTTTAAAACTTCCTCATTCTTTATGTCTCCTTGCCCCTAGTTTCAGTAAACAACCCCCTCCTGGCCTCCATCATCTGCTCTGTCCTTAGTCATCCTTAGTCACCTGCTCTGTCCTTAGTCACCTGCACTGTCCTTAGTCATCCTTTGTCACCTGCTCTGTAACAGTCCTTCCTGCCGAAACTACTCACCCCGCCACTCCAGCACACACCCCGATCTCTTTAAAATAGCCAACCAGAATTAGCTTAGACTGTGCTGTCCAACTCTAGCCAACAGGAGAAAGACAGAGCAGTAGGAACTAGCTGCGTTAAGGATAAGACCCCCTTCCCCTTCCTTGTCCGGTGTCCTCTCGCCATTGCTCCATCCATGAGATGCACCCTTCTATAGAAGTAAATCGCCTTGCTGAGAAAACTTTTGCCTGGGTGCTAATTTTCACTTGGTGGCACCGAGCATTTACTTCCAACACTTAATAAACACGTGCTGAGTACCCACCACATGTTAGGCAATGCTGGGCACTGGGGAAGCAAAGCCACAATGCAATTCTTACTTTCAAAGAGCTCAAATATAGTGTAGGAGACAAAACAAATTACAACAGAGCATTAAGTACATTAATAAACAGATATGCAAAGAGGCCTACAAAATGTTCCATAAAGTATAACTTAGAATTGTTTCATATAATGTATTCAATGGCACTTGTGAGATGGAGTGGGGCTTTCAGATAGTAAGGCCTGTATCAGCTGACTTTTTTGAGACAGGGTCTCACTGCAGTAGCCCAGGCTGGAGTGCAGTGGTGTGATCTTAGCTCACTGCAGCCTTGACCTCCTGGGCTCAGGTGATTCTCTCACCTCAGCCTCCCAAGTAGCTGGGACTACAGGTGCACACCACCACACCCAGCTAATTTTTTGTATTTTTTTTTTTTAGCAGAGATGGGGTTTTGCCATGTTGCCCAGGATGGTCTTGAACACCTGGACTCAAGCAATTCACTTGCCTCAGGCTCCCAAAATGCTGGGATTATAGGTATGAGCCACCAGGCTCAGCCTCAATTCATTTTTAAAAGTGATCCAGAATATGATTTACTTCTGTGTATTTAGTTGTACTGTATTAAGAAAATTCTGATACTCCTAGATAATACAGATAACACTATCTGAATCTCTGCTCTCAAAACTCAAATTTTCAGACAAATCTCTCGCTATTTGCTACTCTTACTACTTACTAGCTGCAACTGAGAAACAAAACTGACATGAATATAAGAAGTTCAAATTCCTTTGCACTGGAATTCACAATGGGAAATTTCAGCATCTCAATTCTGGAAATGAGCAGATTTGAATTGTAAGGCATAGTTGTATTGGAAATTATAACAGTTCTTTAGCATTTCATTTGATAATCTAATAATATGCCTCAACCTAATCTAAAAGCTTGGAGAAAATGCAGTAGTCAAGATTTTTTTATTTCAAATTTTAATCACTAATGATAATCTGACAACTATTTAAGGTAAAAGAGTATCCAAAATGTAGAGTGGGTAGACATGACAATCTAACAGAATATCCGTCACTAAGTGTTGTGTGTGGTGTTCACTTATTGTACAACTAGCCATTAATCTACACAGAAGCCTACATCCCACAGAGGCTCTGAACAGCTGCCTGGCATGTCATCAAGTGTGCTGAATATGTGTGACAAGAGGAATTTGCCTGTTCAATTTATGATCAGGCTGGAATATGAAAAATACTGGGATGGAACTTCCTAATCAATGATTCATTTATTTATAAGAAGTTCAAATATGTAAGCCAAAATAGTGGAAAACACTATTTCAAGGTTAACGTGGCAGTCCAATTCAATGTGCTGGTGGCCCTAATGTGTTAAAATTTGGTAAGTAACATATTTGTGTGCATTTTCTTTTAACATAGTTATAAAACATAGTTTAAAAGATATTAAAATGAAATGCAAATTAAATGTTTGCAGAGCCTCTGAAGTATCTCCAGGGAACTTCTGCAGACCAGAGTTTGAAGATCACTGGCTTAGGGACTTTGAGGTTAAAATGTAAATGGAAGAACAACAATTTGGTGCACCTGCTATTTTAAGGATCATCAAGTTCATTTCCAAACTTCAGCCTAGGGCAGAAACCATTCCTCATTATCCTAAGAGCAGTGAAGCTGAGAAACACAACTGCAGAAAGTGTTTTAAGATTCTCTGGTGAGTTAGAATTTAAAAGGCTGGGACCAAAATTTGAAATACAGCATTCACTTCTCATTGTTGTTCATCCATTAATTCATTCAACAATTTATTGAGCACCTGCCACTAGGCATTGTTCTAGAGGCTTGAAATACATCATGAAAACAAACAAACAAGCAAGCAAACAAACAAAAAAAGAAAAAAACCAAGGTTGGGCATGCTGGCTCACACCTGTAATCCCAGCATTTTAGGAGGCCAAGGCGGGTGGGTCACTTGAGACCAGGAGTTCAAGACCAGCTTGGGCAACATGGCAAAACCCAATCTCTACTAAAAATACAAAACATTAGCTGGGCATGGGGGTGCACACCTGTAGTCCCAGCTACTCGGGAGGCTGACGGGGGAGAATCACCCAAGCCCAGTCTCAGGAGTTCGAGGCTGCAGTGAGCTGTGATCATACCACTGCACTCCAGCCAGGGCAATGGGAGTGATACCCTTTTTTTTAAAAAAAAAAAAAAACAGACAAAATTCCCTATCTTTGTGAAATTTAGAGTTTAGTGGGGAGAGACAGACAATAATCACAAATAAGAAACTTGCTGTAAGGTAATAGGTGAAAAGTGCAATGAAAAAAAATTGTGAGGCAAACACCACATGTTCACACTTATAAGTTGGGAGCTGAACATTGAGAACACATGGACACAGGAAGGGGAACAACACACACTGGGGCCTGTCAGAGGTGGGCAGGGAGGGAGAGCATCAGGATAAATAGCTAATGCATGTGAGGCTTAATACCTAGGTGATAGATTGATAGGTGCAGCAAACCACCATGCCACACATTTACCTATGTAACAAACCTGCACATCCTGCACATGTATCCCGGAACTTAAAATAAATAAATAAAAATTGGAGTCAGGAATTGGAACTGTGGTGGAGGAGGAAGGCTGCAATTTTTCACAGGAGAGTCAGGGTGGGCCTTATTGAGAGAAAGTAAAAGTGGATCAGAGATCTGAAGGAGGGGAGAGGTAAACCAAGAGGCCATCAGTTCAAGCAGTGGTTCTCCAAGTGGGGTCCTAAGGCCACCAGCATTACCCTGAAACTTGTCACTAGCTCAGAAATGCTCGAGTGGCACCCAGCAGTCTGTTTTTCAAACTCTCCAGGTGATTCTGATGTGCCCTAAAGTTTGAGAACCACTGCCCTAGAGAAAAGGCCCTAAAATAGGAGTGGGTCTAGGACGTTCTACAGAAACGGGTGAAACCAGGCATCTGGAGGTGACAGTCAGGAGGACGGTGGTGGCCACAGCATGAATAGCTTTATGATCACAGTAAGGCTTTGGCTCCAAGAGAAAAATGGGGAGCTACTTTTCTTTAGGAGCCACACAGCCTACATTTCAAAACGTTCATGTTGGCTGTTTGGTTGAGCGGAAGCACTACATGACTTGCCTCAAGAGGAGACTCCCTGACTGTTCAACTCTATTTTGGGTAGTGGTATGCTGCTAAATGTTTAAAAACAGGCTCTGAGGGTGAGGAGCACTAATTTGTAGTGTCTGTTGATTTCCATGGTGTAAACTCTCCCACCATGGCTGATTTCAAGCCGCCAGCATGACTCACTGAACATGGAGTTGTGAAGAGATGTGCATAAACGACTCACAATACTGACTCTAGTCCCAATGTCACTGCTACCACTGAGAACATTTAAAAATGAGGGAGAATTTTGTGAATCTGATTGGAAATGTGAATGCTATTTTATAAGTCTATATAAATGCAATGACTTCTATTGCTCTATTACTGTTACTCAAATACAGAGCCCAAGTCCTTAGAATTTTTTTTTTTTTTTTTAAGAGACAGGGTCTCACTCTGTCATCCAGGCTGGAGGACAATGGTGTGATCACAGCTCATTGCAGCCTCAAACTCCTGAAAAGTTAATACAACAATAATATATTAACTTCATTTAGAGAAAATCCCATTAATATTAAACTTCAGCTTCCTTTATTCAAAAACAGTTATTTAACTTTCGTTGGGATTCCTCTGTTACTGAATTTCCCTTCTCTTACTATAATTAACATCTTGCACTCTCAAAAAGTATGCATTGACTAGGATTTGCCATGCATCGTATGTGAGGTTGCTGCTCCAAAGGCTTGCA